AAAAAAATAATAAAATAAAATAAATAAATAATAAAATATAATTCATATATCATAAAACTTACCCTTTTAAAGTATACACTTCAGTTTAGTTTTTAGTATATTGACAATACTGTGCAGCTATCACCACTAATTCAAGAACATTTTTTTTAAAGATTTTTTTTTAAGTGATCTCTACACCCAGCGTGGGACTAGAACCCACAACACCAAGACCAGGAATCACGTGCTCTACCATTTGAGGCAGCCAGGTGCCCCGAGAACATTCTCATCACCACAAAAAGAAACCCCATGTCCTTTTGTGACTAGCTTCTTTTACTTAGCATATATGTTTTCAAGGCTTATCCATATTGTAGCAGGTAACAGTACTTCATTCCTTTTTATGACTGAATATCAACATTATATTTTAAGCTTCATTCTTCAAAGCTGCCAGGACTCTAGGGGAAGACCTAGTTAAGGCTGAAGGGCCCCTCCATGGTCTTTTTTCTCCAACCTTCTTTCACACTGCTTTTCCTCCTGTATCATGTGCTATAGCCAAACAATATTTTGATCATATTTTCATACATGTCTCATGTTTTCTTGCCTTTGTACCTTTTCTTATGTCATCCTCTCTATCTGGAGTGCCCTTTTCTACCTATTTACAATTTTTCCTAGCCTTCAATGACTAATTCAGGTAAAAATTCCTTCCCTGAAGCTTTCCTTGATCAGATCAGCTAAGAACCATCTCTGAATTCCTACAGTAATTATACTGCTTTAGGTGCTAAACTTGCCTACTGATTCCTTGAGACTGCCCTCATGTTTTCCAATTGTTTTATACTCTCCCATCTAGTACCTTGGTACAGTAATTTTTTAAAATGTAAATGAAAATGGCATGACCACTTTGGAAAAGGAGGAACCTCACTCTTGCACATTTATCTGAGAGAAATATCCTAGAAAACTAATATTCATGTAAAAATCAGTATACTGTTTTTTATAGCAGCTGTGTTTGTAATAGCCAAAAAGTTGAAACCACCAACATGTTATACAGTAGTTGAATACTTAAACAAACTGTAGTACATTCATATCATGGAATACTACTCAGTAATAAAGAGGAATGAACTATTGATATATACAGCAACTATTTGTTATACTGAGTAAAAATCATAAAAGGCCACATATTATATGATTCCATTTATATAACATTCTTGAAATGACAAAATTGCAGAGTTGGGAAACAAATTAGTATTTACCAGGGTTTAGAAATAGTGTGAGGAAGGAGGATAGATTTGAATATAAAGGATAGTATGAGGGATATCTTTGCAATGATAGAATAGTTCTGAATCTTTGTTTTGGTGGTGGTTACATGAGTGTGTGTGTGTGTGTGTGTGTGTGTGTGTGTGTGTGTGTGTAAAAATGACATAGAATTATACATACACATTGTACCAGTGTCAGATTCCTGGTTTTGATGTTGTGTTATAGTTAGATAGGATGTATGTATTGGGGGAATTGGGTGAAGTGTATATGGGACTTCTCTGTGCTATCTTTGCAATTTCTTACAAATCTATAATTATTTTTAACTAAGAAGCTTAAAACTTTCTCTTTAGAGATTGAAAAGGTATTTATCATAATCATTTTGGCACTCATGGTCCTGCTTCTGATCACTATGAATCTGTGTATACTTTCAAAGTCAATTTACTTTTGAGGTTGACAAGAGAACCTGTTTGTAGTGATATTGTTGTTACATTTTACAATTGATACCTGTTTAAGCAAGATCTGGGACAGGGGTTCTTTGTGTATGACATCCTGGCTTTCAAAGACCTTGTCTTAATTTTTTTTTTTTAATTTTTTTTTTTAATGTTTATTTATTTTTGAGACAGAGAGAGAGCATGAACGGGGGAGGGTCAGAGAGAGACGGAGACACAGAATCTGAAACAGGCTCCAGGCTCTGAGCTGTCAGCACAGAGCCCGATGCGGGGCTCGAACTCACAGACTGCGAGATCATGACCTGAGCCAAAGTCGGTCACCCAACCGACTGAGCCATCCAGGCGCCCCCCCCTTTTTTTTTTTTTAATTTTTTTTTAATGTTTAATTTTTAAATTAAGTGCTAAATTAAATTAGTTTGAGTCATATTTTGTTACAGATTTAAGTTCCTATTGTTCTTGTCTACTGGATCTTGAAGGACAATGACCACAACAACAGGTCCTATGTAGTATCTGTTATCGTATGAGAGCTTGATAAGCATCAGTTACTTTTGATTTTGCATTAACTGATTCAAACAATTAATTCTTATTTTAATATAGAGTTAATAAGAGGTCTCTTCTGGTAAGATTTTGAAAAAAGATATCATTAAGCAATGTTCAACTCAAATTTTTAAATGTTTGAAAGTCATTAGACTATATATTAAGTAAAATGAATATTCTTTTGCAAATTTAAAGTATTACAAAATCAAAATTTCTCTCTAATTCTTTTTGGAAAGAGGTGGGTATGTATAACTTGAGGATTTTTCTTTTGTATTTATGATCAAACTTAAAGTGAATATGAGCAAAAAAGAGGAAATATGAGCAAAACTCCATATTCTGTAGTAAAATGAAAATTTTTTTTTTCAGATTAAACTACAGAGCAACGTATCATATCAGATGGCAGATATACATCATTTAAAGGGTAAGAAAATTAATTACAGATTAAAGATAAACAAAGGTCACTAAATGTCTAATATCCTCAACAATTAAGAAATAGCTAGACAGCTAAATGAAATAAAAATTTTTGAACAAAGCTCCTTTGATGGCAAAATGTTTACTTTTTCTTAAGATATCATAAAAGAATTTTAATGTTGCTTTATACACATTAAAAGTTAAAATTTGTATTTTAATCTTGTGTATAGACAGATTTCATACAATGAAATGTTACTGAAAGAAGCCTCAAAGAAAATTGAGGTATAGCTTCAAAAGCTATCAAATTTCTAGGGAAAAGGTAAGGGGTAATCCCTCTGTATTGTGTCCAAATGCTAAATAATCCATTCAGGTCTAGGGATGCTTTAGACGGGTCCTCCAGGCTTCATGTTTACCCTGGGAACAGAAAGAAACTCAGAACAGAAAGAAAACCTGGAAAGAAACCAGGAAGAAACCTGTAGATAGATAGATAGATAGATAGATAGATAGATAGATAGATAGATAGATAGATAGATAGATATACTGTGTGTGTGTATTTGTGTGTGTGTGTGTGTCTATTTTTTCACTTAGATGAAGTGATAGGAAATGACTAAAGGTTTTATAAAAAATAATAGGTACGGTGAACAAGCTCTATGCTTTGCTTACATTACTTCATACCATCACCAGCCTGTGGAGTTTGGGACCTGGAGAGGACCCCTCTTCTCCCTCACACCCTTTGGTTACAACACTGTATGTATGTATGTGTGTATATATATGGTCTTTATTTATTTATGAGAGATGTGTGCACACATGAGCGAGGAAAGGGCAGAAAGAAAGAATTTCTGGTGGACTCCACACTGTCAGCACAGAGCCAGAACTTGAACTCATGAACTGTGAGATCATGAGCTGAGCTGAAATCAAGATTGTCAGATGCTCAACTTATTGAGCCACCCAGACACCCCTGTGATAAATATAACTCTATATTTATTTTGTTGTTTTTACATGTTTCTTTATTTATTTTTAGAGAGAGAGTGCATGCATGCACATGGGTACATCATGTGCACACACACACACACACACACAACCAGGGCGTGTAGAGCAGAGAGAGAGAGGGAAAGAGAGAATCCCAAGCAGGCTCCATGCACTCATTGCAGAGCCCGGTGGACGCTCACTGTGAGATCATGACCTGAGCTGAACTCAAGAGTCAGATCCTCAACCAACTGAGCCATCCAGGTGCCCCAATACTGTATATTTTAAAACTTGGCAGGCAGTGACTCTAAGTTTTTGTGTGTGGGTAATACATGCTCTGTAATTTCATAAATATATCTTTATTCTATAACAATTTTGACCCTCTTTAGGTGGAATTTGATAATAGATTTTTATGATCCTCTTGAAGAAGCCAACCTGAGCTGGCTTTGTAATTTATTAAAATTTTTGCTTCTCACCTAGCAAATCATTAGGAATGTGTTATAACCTGAAAATAGAAATTATGATTATTTTTACTATGATTTAGAACAGCTTTGACATTCTCTTAAAAATTACCTTCCTGGGTGGCCACATTTGTTTTTGTTGCATTTGTGTCCGTGTTCTACTCTTTATGACTCACAGGAGTACATTAGGATGACACAGAAGATGCCACTCTGTCAGTGCTGTTTCCTGCTTGCTATTTTTACAAATGAGTCTGCTTGTCATCAAAGTATGTTTCTATTAAATAATAATAGATCAGTTGAATAAGAAGTCCAGAGCCTTCTCCTAGTCTACCTTATAAAAAATGACAGCCCATGTTACTGAGTAAAAGTCTTTAATTTACAGTGTGCATTGAAGTAGATCCTAAGATATTTTGAAAATTTTTTTATGATACTCTTCAGCAGAATAAAAGGCTTTGATTTGAATTCATAACTCTACAAATTTTGGGTTTAGTGCAGTTACTCAAGCTTGCACTCTTAAGATTGAATTTCCTTTTAATGTGACTTTTGCTCCTTAGGAACTATTTTCGACTGAAGCAAACTTCTTGACCAGTCAACTATAAAATCCAGATTGGACTATTTTCATTGAAAAATAAAAAAAAATTTTTTTTTAATGTTTGTTTATTTTTGAGAGAGAGACAGAGTATAAGCAGGGGAGGGGCAGAGACAGAGGGAGACACAGAAACTAAAGCAGGCTCCAGGCTCTGAGCTGTCAGCACAAAGCCTGATGTGAAGCTTGAACTCATGAGCAGTGAGATCATGACCTGAGCCAAAGTCGGACGCTTAACTGACTGAGCCACCTAGGCACCCTCGTTGAAATTAATACTAGATATGATGGAATTAATACACACTAAGACCTAAACGTTATGGTAGTTAATATTTTTTTTTGAAATGAAAGGAATGAGAGTTAGTTTTTGCTCCCTGAGTTAACAAATTAACGTTCTACTATACACCAATTTATCTTGAGTGGCTCACCTTATTTTTATGCCTATTGCTGAGAAAATTTGAAATCAAAATTTTCTAGAAGGAAATTTTTTTTCTTTTTTTTTTTGCTTTGAAAATTGGTCCTAGGCAACCCCTTTCTTAACTACATCCCTAATCTTTTGAAGTTAAATTGAAGGAGTATGGCCAGGCCTTTCTGTAACATACCCTGATGTTACTGTCAGAAGTAGAACATCCTGCACAATCAACTGTGTGTGGACCTGATCGTATGTTAAGTCACTTTGAGAATCCTGCTGTGGTGACCTGGAGCAGCCCCAGTAGACACAGAGTATATTTGGGTCCAAAATAAAGAAAACACAAGGCAATCAGTTGAAAGTAAAATTGTGATGTAGGAAAATTTTGTCTTTAGTTTTGCTCTCTGATCTGTTTATGTTTCCCCCTTTCAGGTCTTTGTATTGACTGGCTCAAATGACCTATTAGCTCTCTGCTTTATAATCTTTTCTCTGTTTAAACAGGAAAGGTTTAGATGTTTTACATGGACTCACTTATATTGACGTTTTTGTTTTTGTTTTGTCAATTGTATTTTAAGCCTTTTATCTCAGTTTAGAAATAAAACTTTACTTCTTGATAAAGGAATTACAAATGTTGTCAGTGACAAGCTTTGTGGGGAGAAGAGAACCATCCCAAATCTTGAAATCATAGTGAGCCTCAGGTTCATTCTCAAGGTAAACTTAGCTACTTCATTTATTTTACTGTGTAGGAAAAAGCCTGCATGATCCTAAAGCCCACCAATTGAGAGCCATTCTCTAGTAGCTGTTAGGTGGTGCTCTTTTTCTTTTTTCTTTTTTTTAATTGCAGTAACTTTAGTTTCAGAACCTTTCCTGCCTGAACACAGGTTCACTGAACTGGCTAACTCTATGTGTAAGCTACAAGGCCTTTTGTCACTGCCTCCTGCTGGGATCTCATTGTCTCTGTAGAATTGATATCCATGGCTGAGGCCATAGTTTCTGCTACCTCTAGTTGTCTAAATCTTAGGAGATGGGGCCAGGGACCAAGTAACAAACAGAATGTTTTATTCAGGGATACCTGGTATCGTATTTGCTACTTTTATCTGAGGTGGAGTTAGTGGATGAAAAACTATGGAGATCAGCCATGTTTACATATTGGAGAATTAATAGAGTAAAAAGGAATTTAAAATGTGGCTTGATTAAACTTAGAGAAAGGAATGGTGGTTACCAGGGGTTTGAGGGGTGGGGAAAGTGAGATGTTGGTTGAAGTATACAAACTCTCAGTTGTAAGATGAGTAAGTCTTGGGGATATAATAAACAATGTGGTGACTATAGTTAACAGCATTATATTATGTACTGAAGATTGCTAAGAGAGTATATCTTAAATGATATACTTCAGTAGTAATTTCAGTAGTAGTAATTTCACAGTGTATGAGCGAATTAAATCAACATGTCATATAGCTTACACTAATAAAATGTTATATCTAAAAAATTTTTTTAAATAAAATAAGTGGCTTGAATGTATAAACATAATTATCAACTACAAGCATTTTATGTGAATCATTAACTTTTCACATTTGATTATTATACAAAAACTATTATTATGCATATTGTTAAACTATTTATCTGCCTCAACAAATATTCACCCAACTTTACAATTTTTATTTGTTGTCATTGTCACAGTTATGATTCTACAATAAAATTTAGAAAGTAGAGAAAAAAAATACGCTCAGAATCCTACCACTAAACATAATCACTGGTAGTACTTTGATGGGTTTTTATTCTAATCTAGTTTTTTTACATGGATATAATTACATTGTAAATATTTGTTTACATTTGCTTTTTAAAAACTTAAATCCCAAGTATTTTTAGAGTGCCTTTAAAGTAATAAGACTAATTTTAGAAGTCTTGCATGAAAAGTAGATTTTATAATATTTGTACATTATGGTTAGATACATTTTAGTCTTTTTTTTTTTTTAACG